TTTTTTTAGAATGTGTTTGAGCCTGCATAATGACCAGTCCTAAGCAAATAAACATAGTAATGGGTCAACAGACTTCAAAAACAGAGTAATCACAGATCAAACACATAAAATTGAGTCACAAAAACCAAAAAGAAAATAAGCACAATACAAAAAAAAAAACATCAAACTCCAAAAAGGTAAAACAATAAGAAAAAGAAAGGAACAAAGAAGAAATACAAAATCAACTGGAAAACAGTTTAAAATGGCAATAAATACATATGTATCAATAATTACCTTAAACATCAATGGACTAAATACACCAATCAAAAGACACAGCGTGGCAGACTGGATAACAGAACAAGAGCCTACAATATGCTGCCTCATGAGACCCACTGAAAGTGAGGCGATGGAAAAAGATATTTTATGCAAATGGAAATGACAAGAGATCAGGGATAACAATACTCATATCAGACAAAATAGATCTTAAAACAAAGGCCGTAAAGAAAGATAAAAAAGGACACTCCATAATGATAAAAGAATCAATACAAGTAGAGGATATTACACTCATTAACACATATGCATCCACTATAGGAGCACCTAAGTACAGAAAACAAATACAGACATAAAAGGAGAAATTGATGGGAATACAGTAATAGTAGGAGACTTTAATGCCCCACTAACATCAATAGAAAGATCTTCCAGACAGAAAATCAGCAAGGCAAAAGAGATCCTAAATGATGCAACAGAATAGTTAGACTTAATTGTTATTTTCAGGTCATTACATCCAAAAAAAAATTCTTTTCAAGTGAACGTGAAACATTCTCTAGAACAGATCACAAACTAAGACACAAAACAAGCCTCAAGAAATTTAAGAGGACAGAAATTATTTCAAGCATGTATTCTAACCAAAATGGTATGAAACTAGAAATCAACCACTGAAAGAGAAATGAGAAAAATGAAGACTTCATAGAGACTAAAGACTGCATGCTACTAAGAAACCAACAGGTCAATAATGAAATCAAAGAAGACATTTTAAAATACCTAGAGACAAATAATGAAAACACAATCACACAAAATACAAGGGATGCAGCAAAAGCAGTCTTAAGAGGGAAGTTCATAGCAATACAGGGCTTCCTCAAAAAATTAGAAAAATCTCAACTAAACAACCTAATCTACCACCTAAAAGAATTAGTAAAAGAACAAACAAAACCTAAAAAAGTCAGCAGAAGGAAAGAGATCATAAAGATCAGAGAGGAAATAAATGAAACAAAGATTTGAAAAATAATAGAAAAAAATCAATCAAATCAAGAGCTGGTTTTTTGAAACAGTAAACAAAATTGACAAACCTCTGGGGTCACCAAGAAGAAAAGAGAGAAAACAAATAAACCAAATAATAAATGAAAGAGGAGAATTAACAACTGATATCACAGATATACAAAAAAATGGAAGAGAATACTATGACCAATTTCGTGTCAATAAATTGGACAATGTAAAAGAAATGTACAAGTTTCCAGAAACATACAGGCCACCAAAACTGAATCAAGAAGAAATAGACAATTTGAACAGACCAATCAGTAGACTGAAGAGGAGGAAACACTCCCAAACTCATTCTATGAAGCCACCATCACCCGGACACCAAAACCAAAGACATTACCAAAAAAGAAAATTACAAGCTCCTATCTTTGAAGAATACAGATACAAAAATTTTCAACAAAATATTAGCAAATAAATCCAACAACACATACAAAAGATCATACACCATGATCAAGTTAGATTCATCCCAGGATCACAAGAATGGTTCAACAAATGCAAATCAATCAGTGTGATATACCACATATACAAAAGAAAGGG